TTCCTTCATTCTGATCTGCTTGTCAGCACAAAGATGAAGAGACATACTCCTCCTTTCTCAAAGCAAAATAAGTAAAAACCAACAATAGATCTAATTCAGTGGTAAAATGCAACCGAAGGTTTCAATAAATGAACTCGAATCGAACTATAACGGACCTATTTTGCCTTCGATAAAAAACATAGAAATTCGAGGAATTTTGCAGTGTGGACAAGCACTTTTTGACTAGCCGGAAAGTTTTGAAATGGGAAGTAGAAGGTTGTGAATCAAACATTAGAAGGTTTTTTAATGTTTGATTCGAATTGAAACATTTGTTACCACAAGTTTTATGTTTTATAATAGTATCCTTATCACTTTCTGCCGTGAACGCTTGTATCTATGGAGAAAATTACTTGTCTTGTTTGCAGATGAGGATAGCTTTTCTCGCTCAATTATGGTTAACCGTTGCCTCACAGGTTTGCTTCTGTTATACTGAGTTTCTAACTGTAGAAATTCGCAAAAATACTTGTATTTTTAGAGAAGTCCAAACAGTTCTAACCGAGATGAAAACGAAGTTCTCGGAACACCCGACGTACAATGTAGTGAAGATGCTATCACTTTTTCAGTGCGAACATCAGCTCCATTCAAGTAAGTTTTGTCTCTTCCGGCATTTTATCCAAAACTTCATTTGAAATTCATAACATTTGTTTTTGAATGAAGGAAACCCTACATTCAAAATTCTCCTCTTCTTCTGAGGCATTCGACTACCGATAGTCATTACATATCGATGCCACTTTTGTTCTTTGGCAACCATCTTATCCTATTCCGGAGGATAGCGCGAAAAGATAAAATCAAAGTAAAAAAGACACCGATCTGTAACATTCTATTTTTCGTCTTCGATAGGGATGATTTAGTATTTCTCAAATCACTGTATACCGTACAAAAGAAGTCATTCAGGGGCAATATCTATGTCAAAGGTCATTACGGTATGGATAGTTGTCGGCAAGAGTACTACGGTAATGATTTTCCCGGTGCTACATTTGTGGTTCGCATCGGCGACTGCGGAATGCGACGAATTCGACAGGTTCGTGCCGCATTCCAAGGAAAAAAATCGATAAATCGATTATCTCAAACCAAACTTAGCTACAACCACATGGAATGAACTATGTGCTGACGTTTGTCGCAAATTTTCACCCGCATTTCATGACTAAAGTGGATCGAGCCTATAATGTCCGCTGTTTTTATGCATATATCGACAAGACAGTCAATGCGGATATGGATGTGAGGTTAGTGGATGGATGAAAGAAAAATCAACTTTACTTTTAATCAATTTTCTGTTTTAAAGCTATTAAAATACTTGAAAATCCTACAGTAATTCTACAGTATAGAGATTACAGTAATCTACCATCTGAGTCATTGGAACAGCAGTCCACCTTAATGCCCGAATGTGAGTATTCTATTCGCGAAGGATCTCCTGATGGACAACGCGTCAGAACATCTTCCATTGGCGCAAATCTTGTGCACAGATGGGATTGCAGGACTAGCAGTAAGAAACTTTGCTTATTTCGTTTTATTTCCTTATTTGCAAAAGAAGTGGCTGAATGCAAAAGCGATAGGTCCCGGGGAGATTTGAACTCCACGCTTGCGCAAAAGAATAGGTCCCGGTGAGATTTGAACTCACGTCGAGAATTCAGAGTCCTGAGTGCTAACCGCTACACCACGGGACCACAGTGAACGCCGTCTTAACATTTTTACTAATGTTTTCTTCCAGCTCGGTTTGGTATGCTCGTGCGTAATTGTAATGCAATTGACAGTACAGGATTGTCTATACCGATAATTGATGAGAGAGGGTAAGTGGTTCACAAAATGTCGTAGTTGCGAAAGAAAATTCCAGAACGCTTTTTGAGACGCCTAAAATTTTTCAAGCTTGATTTTACAGCGCGGTAAAACATTCATTCTTATAGGAAACTCAAATTGCTCAAAAATCAAAGCGAGGCGCTAGAGTTTGAATTTTCCTATATGCAGTAATTTCCTAGATGCATCGTTTTCTCGCACTTTCTCATGTTATTCTCAAAAAATATT